ATGTAGACAAAGAAAAGAATGCCCCATGTGTCGGTCCTTAACTGGTACCAAAGTCTCACCGGTGTCTCTTACTGACTAGGCTCTGCCTAGCACCCCCACTCCGGTGACCGCCTCGGCCGGTGGGCTAACCCAAGTGAGGGTATCCGTTTCTGTGTGTGTCTCTACATCCGGTAATTCGGCTCTCCTTCTCCTTTCCACTCTCTCCCCACTTAAGTCTGCCTTATTCCCACTCTTTCCCTTCCCCTTATCCCACAGAATTTTCCCATTATCCTCCTCTATCTCTCTGTTTCACCCTTCCGTTTCTCTCTTTTCCCACAACGAGGGCCACACGTAATCATATGGGAGACCCAGGACTATGGGATCGTTCACCCACCAAACCCATAATTGACCCGCAAGAGAGTTTGGCAGCCGCCTAAGACGACTAAAAAGGCCAGGTTAGGGACATTACTGCTTAAACCCTTGTGAGGGGAGGCCGGAAAAGGTGCCCATAGCACTTAATAAGTTCACGATATCTGCCAGTAGACCGTGACTCGCAGACTCCAATACATGCCATCGCAAAACCGAAACAAATAACAATAATATTCCCCTTCCTCATCCCCTTCCATATCCTCCGGTTTAACTTACTAGGCTGCTAGGGCGAGGCCGCTTACACTGTCACCCTACAATATTCCTTCTCTTTTGCACACTTCGAAGGGTTACAAGCCGTCTGGCTGCAAGCGTGTGATTGGAATGGCCACGGCCTTCAAATGATTTACAAACTGAACATGTACACGGCCGACGTCCCGACGACATTCCGGCACGAAGGGGACACCTGGACCACCTAGGCCAGTGAAGATTGGAAGCTGACTTGATTTCATCTCAGCTGTCTCTGCAGAATAATGAATTTGAGTTGGCAGGACTGAGTCCCGGACACGGACGTCTTGGAGAGCACCGGAATCTTCAGGACCCACGTCATGCTGAGGAAAATACAACTGCGATGGAGAAGCCATGAAATGAGAATATAGGATCAGCGAATATCCATGGGAGACTTCTGTGCAGATGTCACTGAAGGTGCTCGTCGATAAGGAAGACAAAAACAACGCTACAAGGACTCTCTGAAGCGACTCCAAG